ATCCTGTGGAGCAATGTATCACGATTGCAAGTGCCTGTAATTTGTATTGGCAAAGACATCATCTGAGTGCTGATTGTATTGCTGTGGAACCAGCGGGTGGATGGCATGGTGCTCGTAATAATTAATTTTCGAAAGCTCTGAAATGGTTGAAATGGGTGGATATACACTTCGAGAAGAAGAATGCAACAGTGGTTTACCCACCAGAAGGGAAGATCGCGTGACGCATGCAGGGAATTGCGGGGAACACACGATTACGACACCCACGCATGTGTGTTACGTGGATGGTTTCGACCCTGTGACCCAGACCGTGTACGAATTTCTTGGCTGTGTATGGCATGGTTGTCCTTGCTGCCATCTAAACCACAGATTAGTTCCTAAAGTGCATCTAGATCATTCCATGGAAGAAGTGTATGACGTGACCTGTGCCAAAGCCACTTTGTTACACTTGATGGGTTTCATCGAAGTGAAAATGTGGGAATGTTTTTGGGATGACCTCTCCAAACACGACCCGCTATTGATACAGTTTCTTCACACCTTGGAAATTGTAGAGCCCCTAGAGCTGCGTCATGCATTTTACGGTGGAAGGACCGGCGCTACATGTTTGTTCCACAAGACCAATGAAGCCTAAGGAGAAAAAGTACATTACATCGATGTCACTTCTGAATATCCGTGGGTGAACAAATACAGAACTTATCCCGTGGGACATCCACAGATTTTAACAAGTCCTCAGACCACTGATCTATCAGATTATTATGGCATCGCCAAAGTGGATATTGTAACACCAGAAGAATTGTTCAATCCTGTCTTACCCTATCGAAGTGGAGGAAAATTGACTTTTCCGTTATGCTGTACCTGTGTGGAACAACAACAAGCAAAACTGATGCTCGACCGCCGATGGACCTGTACTCACACCCATCAAGAACGCCTCATCCGCAGTATGTGGTGTACACCTGAAATGAGTACAGCCGTGTAAAAAGGGTACCGAATTGTGAAAATTCATAAAATCTGGCATCTTCCCAAAGACCAGCGTGTGGAAGGATTGTTTACCGGGTATGTGGATACATGGCTGAAATGAAACAAGAATCAAGCAGGCGGCCATCTCATGTAGGCACCCTAGAAGAATTGCAGAATTACATTAACCAATATGAAGCACATGAAGGTATCCAAATGGAACCAGGAAAAATTGTGAAGAATGCAGCCAAACGTTCATTAGCCAAACTCATGATGAACTCATCTGGGGTAAATTTGGAGAATAGCTCAATAAACATGCGGTGGAATCAGTCACAGCGCCTCACGAATTGTTTGAATATTTAAATAATTTATTGGTGGTCATTCATGCGATTCGCATCTTTTCAGAAGATGTCTTAGAAGTGGTGTTTAGCTACATGGACGAAGACGCTTCGAAAGGTAAGTAAACCAATATTTTTATCGCCGCCTTTACGACCATTCAAGCCCGCTTGAAATTATACCGTTATCTAGATCCCTTACGAGATTAAGTCCTCTACTACGACGCAGACTCTGTCATTTTCTCATATAAACCCGGCAAAACCACGATCACATTAGGCGATTATCCTGGTGATATAACCAGTGAATTGAACGAGGATGATTACATAACTGAGTTTGTATCGGGTAGTGCCGATACAATTACGGATATCTCACCAAACAAGGCAAGTCTTGCTGTAAAGTACATCGATTTACTCTGAATTATCGTGGAAGTTGGTACCTGAGTTACGAAGTTATGAAACAAAACGTCTTGGAGGAAATTACAGATCCTTTGGATGAAGAGTGAGGAACCGTACCCGTGACCAACCCTTATTTCTTTGCTCAGGAAACCAAAACAAAGAAAATTAAGACTGTCGAGCGTATCAAACAGTACGGTTTAGTGTTTGACAAATGCGTGATTGACAAAGACACTTTTATGTCTTATCCGTACGGATATAAAAGGTTGTAAGTTTAGTGACGTCCATTAGTAAACCATAAGAACCCGGAGAAAGAGAAAGACAAGGAAACTGCAAAGAGGAGGTGCGGCGACGAGTATTGTCAAAAAAATATTACAGTGGGGCCCCACCAACAGACAAAATTGCCAAAGGTTTAAGCATGTTCTTATTGTGTCCATCTCCATCGTTCGGTGCCTTAGGTAGACTTTTAGACAAACAAGTGTTTAAAGGTGTAGAAGACAATGTCATACATTATCGAAAGAGAAAAAACGCATGGACACGCTATTTGTAATCAATAACAGTTTTTATTAATTAATTAACAAGTTTTTTTAATTACAATTTCAATTGTTTCTTACTGTTTATAATGTAACGCGCCAGGTCGTCCATCATTGATTTCTTACCAGGAAGATTTTTAATAGAGGCTACCATTTTATCGTCGGCTTTCCACT